TGACCACTAACGCCATTCGGAACGACCATGCACGGAAAACTGAACACTCACAACGAAATCATGGCACAGAATCAGAAATGCAAAACAAATCCGGCAAAGGTCAATAGCCCAACCCCGGAAGGGAAGAAGACAAGACATCAGATACGAGATCTATTCACAGTCAGCTGTGACAAAATTACTGGCCGCCATTCTCGTTCGTCGCCTCACTGTGGAACGGGAATCTCGAATTAGGGAACAGCAGCCTAGTTTCCGCCCAGGACGTGGCTGTTTAGACAATATATTCACTTTGCGGCAGGTGCTAGAGCAGTGACACCCATACCGCAGATCGACAATAGCTGTGTTCCTTAATTTCAAGAGTGCGTTCCATTCGGTAGATCGACGCATTTTGTTCGAAATACTTGCACAGAAAGGTGTTCCCACGAAGTGTGTGAACATCCTACGTGCTCTATACTCGAACCCTACACGCCGCGTCAAGGTCTACGGTGGCCTATCGAATAGCTTTCCGACCACAAGTGGCCTTCGTCAGGGTTTTCCGATTTCCCCATTTTGTTCAATTTCCCCGTGGGTTCTATTATAGTGTGTTTCCTTGCGGAATCACGATGTAAGCGTTGAAGTGCTGCCTGGTGAAAGATTAGTTGATGTCGATTAGGTGGATGATATCGTCTTGCGTTTCGACGATGTTGCGGCGGCACAATCAACCCTGAATAGCATGTCTAGAGTACTCCCATTATTTGGTATGCACTTGGCATCTTCAAAGTGCAAAGTGTTACCGCAGGACCATCACTCAGTTTATGACCTCTTGACCCTTGTTAACGAGGAACTCGAGGTGGTTGGTCTTTTCACTTATCTTGGAAGCTGCATCAGCAACCATGGGTGCATAGAAACTGACGTCAGCTCACGCATTGCAAAGGCCAACCTTGTTTCTCGAACCTGCGGCATTTTTGGCGACAGAAGGGAGTTTCCCTCCGTCTGAAAGGCCGTGTATACAAGGCCACAATGAGGGAGGGAGACTTGGCCCCTTCGGTCTGAAAATCTGAGGCGTCTTCAAGTCTTTGATCACCGTTGTCTGCGAAGCATTGCTGGTGTCGGATGGCACCACCCTGTCTGCAATGATGATGTGCGCAGGCGAGTACTAAGTAGTGATAATCATGCTTGCTCCCTAGAACAACTGATAGCACTGAATAAGTTGCGTTGGCTCGGGCACATGCTACGTATGCCTGGTCACCGCTTACCTAGAAGGGCTTTGTTTAGTCTGCCAGGTGTAGAGTGGCGCAAGACTCGAGGTGGACAGAAGTTGACTTGGCAGTGTGAAATGAAGTCACGGACGACCAAACTGGGTGCCGTTGGTCCATCTCGCCTTCCGGGCTGTAGTCCACGTGACTCGCCTTTTGCTTGGCTCGAGACTTTACAGGACATGGCTCGCAACCGACACCAGTGGCGCGTCTGCTGCCGTCTCCTAATTGGATTGCCTGTTTAAACTGTGTTTGGTGCTGAGTTATCTGCGTGGTAATGGTTGATTATGACGCGTGGCAGTGGAAGCCGCAAGGAAGCTGTCTCGCCGATGCCGTCTTATCTTTGCACGGTAGCCAACTGTTTGTGCCGATATGTTGTTAACACAAGGTGTAGGCGTCTTGGTGCTGAATGTTTGCTGAAGGCATTAAGATTTTCAGGTAAGTCCCTCTTCTCTCTCTCTTATTATTACTCTTTATTTCACAGGTCCTCATGGTTGTATGGCAGCGAAGCATCAGTTCAAATGGCCGATGTACTGCTGTTGTTGATTGCTTGATTTGTTGAGATCTATTCACGCGCCAAAACGAGACAGACGAGAGTATCCAGAAAGCGATGGAAACTCATGATTGGTTAAATCATTCAACGGCCTTGCCAACTCAGCCAATCACGATGCTCATTTGATGCGGGTGCAGATAGCACGCACCGTTTAAACATCAAAACTGGTGGCTAACAAGAATTGCTTGGTTCTCCCTGATTCTAAATAGATAGAGATAAAATGTTTATTCTGTAATACGGGAGATATGTATGCACATGCATGATCATGTTAAGAGTACTATATGCGATCCGTTAATGTACGATAGAACTGTGGGATTGTCGCATATCTTATTATATGAATGGGTCGGCCGTTGGCGGTGTGGTCTGCGCACCTGGTTTGTAACCATAAAGTCCCCGGTTCGAATCCGCGTAGGGGTGAGCGTCATCGCGGTATACTCAGCTCGCGCACCACTGTTGGTGTTCGCGCGTCAGCGTACCGCCGTTACGGCCCATAGCTGACACATTATAATTATTATCATTATTATTATTATCATTATAATTATTATATGAATGTATCTAAGTATGCATATTGACGTGCTTAGCTGGTTTATGGGGTTTTTAAATGTTTTCCTGCTTTTTTGATCGTCCTTGTACCTGTCGCCAGTGCTAAATGGATGCTTGATGTCTGTGAACTTGAAGCGCTTGTACGGATAAGCAATGGGTGTCTTTAGTTGGTGGCGAGTCACAACCGTCACGCCAGTGTTGTTAAACGAACATTTGTGGCTTTTATAGGAAGAACGCTTGCCAGGCGAGAACCCACCACTTCCTGCAACACGGCTGGCGAACTATTTGCTGGAATGGGGTAAACTCGAACCCCCCAGTTGGCACATGAGGAAGTTGTTCGGCTAACCAGCCTAGTGTAGTTCTTGGAAAATATAGCCTTTTGCCTACAGCCACTAATATTCTTCGATAGCGATTCACGCAAATAATAACAATAATATGTCCGCTATACGCCCTAACGGCGTTTCCCTGCCGTGCGACCAACACCAATCGCACGCGGGCTAAGTATACCGCTGCGTAGTATCGTGCACAGTTCGGGGTAGAAAGCGTTCTCCGCAGCCTCAGAGCTGTAATCAATGGGACATATGTGGAAATCACAAACAAATAACGTCTAGTGCTAATCCGTGAATTAGCTTTAGTTGATGTCAACCGGGCTGCACACAAACGACTGTTCACCTGAATCCAATCGACTAAGGATGGGCTGAGAAGGATGCCCACCCCAGCTTGACCAGTGGTTGCCGCATCAGCGTCTCCGGATGCGTGCAACCAATAGCGAGAGGACAAACCGGTTGCAGTTGCTTCAACCATCCCGTGAGGACCATTGATCCTAATTTCGGACACAAAACACATGTCAATACCTAGTGTGTCCAACCTGCGTGCGAGTGCAGCCTGTTGACCTATTTGTCTTAGAGTGCGAACATTGAACGCCGCCAGGGAAACGGGACAGCGTGGCCTTATGAGGGGCTATTAGCGATTAGTGGCCTGTAGGTGATGCGGGAAGATGGCTGCAGCAGTTTGACTCCAGTGAAGTTGCGTTTGGTCTCAGCCAAATTGGGAATTATAGGAGGAAGGGGGGCTAAGAGAAACCGTTGGAAAGGATAAAATGGAGGCACCAGCACTAGCTTGTTTTCGCTTATCCGCCCTGCTGTATGCAGCAGATAAGGCGGCCCCGATTGATCTGCGCGGCATCCGATGGAGGATATGATTGAAGTTTGAAGAAAAAGTCAAGGTTGTACGTAGGCTGAGATACTGCCAGGGCACTCGCACCTAGACAGTTGGACGATTAGGGTCCTCAACCAACGGCTTTGGCTCAAAAGTCTGTCGGTAAGGTAGCGGATGTGGCAACGATTCGATTAACACAAATGGATGCCACCTCATTTCAAACCCGCAATCTGGAGGACCAGGTGACTGAGTTCTTCCGACATCTAACCATTGACCAATCCGGTAGGGGTGACTTTTAAGGGAAATATGGACCTCACCCAATATAGCTCAATTGGCCGACAAGGTACTCAAATCGTCACCCCACGTTCTGGTGCAGTCTCCTAGTGACATTTTGGCTGCATAGAACCAGTAAGACCACTAGTATCTTGGTTTCCCCGACATGTTTCCTTTTACTTATGTATTATGAATGGTCTCTTTTTATGTCTACGCCTGTGAAACCTACGCAAGGTTTGCGAGTTCGGTAATGGCTCATTGCCGAAATTACACGAAACCAACAGCTCAAGCCGAGCTGATAGGATGCGCCTTGTATGATGACAAGAACCATGTACAGCGCATCGACCATGTGGTTAAGACGTAGTCGCCTATCCATAGATGAGGGATAAACAGACCTTTAGGCGCCTACGTATATTCAGTCAATACTGTGTGTGAACATCTGATTAGTGATGGTGATTCATACACCACTTAGTGTTTTTGTTGATTCTGATCGGTTGCTGGTTCATGCACATACATATCTTTCTTCATCCCGGTGCATTTGTTCCTAAAATGCTCATGATCTGTTTCACTGTGTCCGAATTCTGTCTCTGCTATCTCAACTTTAAGGCGATTTTAGCGCCCAGTGATTAATTATTTGAAATTTTTGACTATTCATTCTACCCATTTGGTTGTATTATCCACTGACTATCCTTCTTATCTTCCCCGTGTTGGCTACATTCCAACTGGGTCATCATTAAAACATCTTTCTAGATTCAGCCGCTTATCCTATCTTTCATCTTATTATCAACGTTTGTTTTATGCGCGTATCCGTTTTTATTTCGAGGTACTAGTGTATGCATCATAGTCTGTTTAATCCATCGGCACACGCAGGTTTCAGTTTTGTCTTTTCTTTGTCATCTTATACTTCGTTTTTCCATGTTTGTACGGTTGTTTTCAGCTTATCGAAAGCCATTGGTGTGATGTGGGACTGTTTGCTTGAGTGGCAATTTGCACGAACTTTTCATTTTTACTTTTTACTGTTGCATTTTTGAGTAACACTTTACACACCGATTCGAATCCGATATTCTGACATATCGGGTAGTGTTTTTGGGTGCGCAGAGAACTGTTAATAATATTTTCCTCCCAATCCTTCCGCTTCTTTTATCTTGGAGTTTTAAAACAACATTTATTTCAATGCATCCCACTTAAATACATTTTGCCGTTTGGTAACGAATCTTAATAGTTCTCCGTTTTACTCATAGATACAAATGTTTTGAGGATCACTTGAAGTGGATCGAAAGTGTTGGAGGGTTGGAGGAGTTCACCCAAGGGTACAGAGATTTCGGCGTCCATGTCCATTCAGATGGTACAATCACATGCAAAGAATGGGCCCCGGGTGCTAAAGAAGTTTACTTGCGTGGGGACTTCAGTATGTTATTTTTATCAATCGATCATTCCACCAGATGATTGGAAGGAGTTCACACATCCTTTTAAAAATGTTGGATTTGGCAAATGGGAGCTGACAATTCCACCGGTTATGGGTTCACCGGCAATCCCTCATCTTTCTATTATCAAGGTAAACATTCTTCCTTTATATTATGACACCTTTTAGCTTTTGATTGTGGCTCATGATGGTCGTCGTTTAGATAGGTTAAGCCCATGGGCTCCCTATGTAATCTGTATCAATGAGAACAAGATATACGATCAAGTTTTATACAATCCACCAGAAGTAAACATCCTGTAAACAGTGAACAGATTCTCTCCTTCAGCGGTATCAGCTGAAATATCCTCACCCTCCTCGTCCGAAGAGCCTGCGCATTTACGAATCACACGTTGGCATCTCCTCTTCTGAACCGGTCGTAGCCTCATACACTCATTTCAAAGAAAACGTGCTACCGAGAATCAAGGACCTCGGTAAGTGCATATATATATATATATATATATATATATATATATATATATATATATATATATACCATTTTCACGTCTCGCAACCCACTTTGGACATTTTGTAAAACAAAATGGAGTTTTCGCAAACCACTTTGGACACGTGGAATTTTTAGCAGAAAATCAACAATTCGCTTACAAGAAATGGGGAGTAAGGCGAGTAGACGATGTTCAGACTACATTATAGCCTTGCTAATGCAACCGAATTGTGTAACCAGCAGGTGCCACTGCAAACTCTACTCTTGATCGTGAACCTCGATTGCCTCGATCAAAAGCGGTGACTGAATATCTCCCTATCTCCCCATCTGTCTTCTCGTAGTTTATGTGCTTCTGACTTTACACATGGACCTGTGTAGCTATGTGACTATTGGAAAGTCAGACTACCCAATCGCGTAGTCCATCATGACTTAAACAAACGTTACCTAGCATTGGAGGGTCGTTGTGAAGCACTCGTTCTGAGAAGGGCTTACGATGCACCATCTTAATGTAGGTCGCAATTCCCACCGAATTAAACCTTGGCTAATTCGATCACTTGGACCGTAACTGACGTAGTAAATAGGCGGCGATCCACTTGTCTTCCGTCACTCTATGGGCCTTCGCGTATGTTGTGTGGGCCAACTAATTCAGCTGCCCAATTATCGGATCAGTGCTGGTTGGAACAATGTTGGCTATGATGAATGCACCAACACCAGCCTAATTTTGTTGGCCTAAAGTTGCAGTTTGATATCAAGGCAGAGGAGTAAGGGGACTGGACTACGTTCCCGCCGTAAGTGGTCATGCGAAGGCAACGGGACTGTGCGACCAGTGGGCGATTGTCGATCACCGCTCATTCTGGTCGTTTCTTGTAGCATAAGGCTGATAAAGCTGTGCTGGTGGAGTCAGGGTGGCCTCCACTAATCCAATAATCGAGTAGCTGAGTAGGTTCACTCAAACACCTAACTAAAATACGCGGATGCCCATAGGGTGCAAGGCCATGTGTATCAACGGCTTAAATGGTGATGAACGACGCCAATGATCAAGAAGAAGGCTTGTTTCACTACCCACGGGTTGCACAGTCCCGTTGCATTCGCATGACCAACTTGCAACAGCAACATCGTCCAGTCCAGTTCGAGCAGCTGATTACCTTCGTCGCCACAACCAGATAAAATTCGCGAAGGCACCTAGAGCGACAGAGGACAATTGAGTCACCGTTTCTGATCGAGACAAATGACGCCCATGATCAAGAGGAGAGATTGCACACACGCCCACTGCTTACACAATTACGTTGCATTGGCGTAAGCGCAATTTAGCCGGAATATCGTACAGCCTCCATACTCTACTGAATTTATAAGAAGCTACAGCTGTAAACCAATGAAGCTAGACTGGTTTAGGCTTATTAATAATAGCCAACAGTGGTCCAGTGATTGCACTGCCTATATAACCACAGGAAATACGCGAAGACTCATAGAGCGACACGGGACAGGTGGGCAACGCCAATGATCGACAGCAGCGCTTGCATAACCGCGCACGACTTGCGCAGTCCCCTTGCATTCACGAGAGGACAGTGTGGTCTGAACATCGTCCAATCGTTTTAATCCCCTTTCTTTGATAACGATTTGCAGTAGTAGGTCAATAAAGCCATGCTGTGTTTGGTGAAAAAATGAAATGAAATGAAAAATGAAAATGAAAAAAATGAAAAATGAAGTGAAAAAGGAATGAAAAAATGAAAATGAAAATGAAATGTGTTTGGTGGATTTATGATAACCAGCACTGATCCGATAATTGGGCAGCTGAATTAGTTGGCCCACACAACATACGCGAAGGCCCATAGAGTGACGGAAGACAAGTGGATCGCCGCCTATTTACTACGTCAGTTACGGTCCAAGTGATCGAATTAGCCAAGGTTTAATTCGGTGGGAATTGCGACCTACATTAAGATGGTGCATCGTAAGCCCTTCTCAGAACGAGTGCTTCACAACGACCCTCCAATGCTAGGTAACGTTTGTTTAAGTCATGATGGACTACGCGATTGGGTAGTCTGACTTTCCAATAGTCACATAGCTACACAGGTCCATGTGTAAAGTCAGAAGCACATAAACTACGAGAAGACAGATGGGGAGATAGGGAGATATTCAGTCACCGCTTTTGATCGAGGCAATCGAGGTTCACGATCAAGGGTAGAGTTTGCAGTGGCACCTGCTGGTTACACAATTCGGTTGCATTAGCAAGACTATAATGTAATCTGAACATCGTCTACTCGCCTTACTCCCCATTTCTTGTAAGCGAATTGTTGATTTTCTGCTAAAAATTCCACGTGTCCAAAGTGGTTTGCGAAAACTCCATTTTGTTTTGCAAAACGTCCAAAATGGTTTGCAAAATGTCCATAGTGGTTTACAAAAAAATCGGCTTTGTTTTGCAATACGTCCGTCGTGGTTTGCAAATTGTCCGAAGTGGTTTGCAATATATCTAATGTGGCTTGGGAAACGTCCATTTTCGAGTCAAGACGGTATATATATATATATATATATATATATATATATATATATATATATATATATATATATATTTGTGCCCCATGCTGAGGCTGATGTTGCATTCTTGATGCCTCTTCAGCGCAGTTGGGCTAAACCAACTTACACTTAAACTAGGTCTTTTTAAACTGACTAAATTTCATTCCACTTTATTTGGTTTGTTCTGCCTACCTGAATACTCATCTATTGACTGGCCACGTTGCTTACATTAATTGCGCTTATCTTCGGTAACTCTGTTGCGTTTTGTAGCATTTTTAACTATCTTGTGGACATTTTTCTTTATCGCGGATTTGTTGCTAACCAACTTATTTCATATGCTTATTTAGCTTAGAGTTATGCCACCGTATCTGTATGCATTATTGTATTTGTTTTATTTCATCTTGTCGTTCCAGGTGATTGGCTGTTGCTTGATATCCCCGGTGTGGCTGCGCTTGATGTGCATGTTGACAAGGTGCCTACCTGTCTATTACCCACTACCTCGTCCATACTGGCTCCAGGAGACAGTTGGTCGTTGCTGGAGGGGACAGGGTGCACGGTCCTTGTGGCTGTGTTAGGATCAAAGAGTGGTTCCATGCACTCCGTGTGTAGCGGACTACGGTCCAGCCACCGCCTTGTGTGCGCTTGATTCCCAAAGACAGTGTGCTTGTGTTTGCCTGTGAAGGAGTGTGGGCCGGCTCCGTTAATGAAACGTGGCTCCCATCCACATGCGTCCCGGTCTTATTCCTTCGGGTTTACACTGGATATGGGGTGTGTGGTTGGAGCTGTGGGTGGTACAGCGCAAGCCATCCATAGTCCCTCTGTAGGCGCAGGCGTCCTGTGGCTTGCCACAGTGACAGGCAAATCCGAAACCGGATGCCGCCAACCATATATTTATCTTTATTTCAAGTGGTGGGTTTACATTTTTTACCTTTATGCTTTTCTTTCTCATATAAATATCTCCCTGTACTCTATTCCATTAACTTGCACACATCGCTTCAGCCAATTGTATTCGATTTTCATAACATTTTTGCGTTCGTGGCATTCCGTGAACTATAATTCCTGACCTCGTGCACTTAGCTAGGATTTGTTTATAAACAACTTATTACATATGCTACTTAATTAAGGTTTATATCACCGTTTCCTTATGCATTAATCGAGTTTTTCTCTTTTTCTTTCTCTCTCAAGTGTTTGGCTGTTGTTTGATATCCCCGGTGTGGATGCGCTTGATGTGCATGTTGACAAGGTGCCTACCTGTCTATTACCCACTACCTCGTCCATACTGGCTCCAGGAGACAGTTGGTCGTTGCTGGAGGGGACAGGGTGCACGGTCCTTGTGGCCGTGTTAGGATCAAAGAGTGGTTCCATGCAGTCGGTGTGTAGCGGACTACGGTCCAGCCACCGCCTTGTGTGCGCTTGATTCCCAAAGACAGTGTGCTTGTGTTTGCCTGTGAAGGAGTGTGGGCCGACTCCGTTGATGAAACGTGGCTCCCATCCACATGCCACCCGGTCTTATTCCTTCGGGTTTACACTGGATATGGGGTGTGTGGTTGGAGCTGTGGGTGGTGCAGCGCAAGCCATCCATAGTCCCTCTGTAGGCGCAGGCGTCCTGTGGCTTGCCACAGTGACAGGCAAATCCGAAACCGGATGCCGCCAACCATATATATATATATATATATATATATATATATATATATATATATATATATATATATATATATATATATATATATATATATATATATATATATATATATATATATATATATATATATATATATTTACATATAGATAGATAGATAGATAAATAGATAAGTAGATAGATAAATAGATAGATAGATAGATAGATTAGATAGATAGATAGATAGATAGATAGATAGATAGATAGATAGATAGATTAGATAGATAGATAGATAGATAGATAGATAGATAGATAGATAGATAGATAGATAGATAGATAGATAGATAGATAGATAGATAGATAGATAGATAGATAGATAGATAGATTAGATAGATAGATATACTAGGAGGCATGTAAGTGTGAGTCACGATTCATCAACGGAGCCGGACCACACTACTTCAACATGCACTGCATCAGCATTCCTGTCTTTCTGCTTGGACAATCAGCCTACCAGACGTATACGAGGCGGTGGCTGGGCTGTAGCCTGAGTTTAACCCGAACGAGACGAGAAAGCACATCATATGTTTTATTTGTCTGGATCTTGAAAACTGCACTTAGTTTACTCACATGCAATGATCCACGCTTGTGTATGAACTAGCACAATCTTATTGGAGTTACGTGAACTTTCATGGACAGTAATGCTGCAAACGTGCAGGGTTTTGTGATCGGAGATAAGACTAACTGCCATATTTATCAAGCTGTGGAAAATCGCACGTACAAGAAGAGCTAACCAATGCGAACTGTCAGTGGTTACTTAAGGTTTAGATTTTTAGTAACACCCTTATATTTAGTCAGAAGCG